CCTAGCCTCTGTACTAGGGCAATTCATTTTCCCAAACTGCTTGGCCCACAGTTTCCACTGATTCTGGCCAGAGCCTTCTTCCTTTGCCAGCTACCCCTTTCCCTACAGTTCTGGATGTTGTCAGCCAAAGTTTAGGACACTGGCAAGGATTCAGCTTGAGCCAAACCAGAAGAAATGGATTTGAATTTGAGCTAAAAGAGGAATGATTTGGAATAGGCATAAAGGAAGAATTCTTGATAAACACTTATCTTCAGATTTGGAAACGGATGCCCTGATGAGTTAGGCCAGCCACAGACCCCCTCTTCTGTGATGAAATCCTCCATGTGTGACCTGCTTGTGACTAAGTACATTTGGGCTGCCCCTGCTTCCCTTCATGCCCAACCAGTCCCATCCCACTTCTGCCACTCCTCCCCCCCCCCCCCCATTAACTCCAAAAGCACCAACTAGTAACAAAAACCTGACTGAAGCTTTCATGGAGAAGCAAAGAAGGGTACATGCACACCACGCAGCCACAGTCCATCCCCTTTAGCATCTCTGCCCCCTCTCTGAAGTTCCTCTCCCAACCTCTTTTTCTACCTCTCCAGCCCATGCTCACTCCATTTCCATCCCCCAGATTCCCTCTCAGAATGCCACCACCTTGCACAGTCCCCTGAGAAAAACAAACCAGCAGAACCACGTTCAGCATAATAAAAGATCTGGAGGTCCCCCATCTGGCCATCAAGCCTCTGGGGATGGAGGTGGAGGGTAAGCCTCAGACTCCCACGAGGGGAGCCCCAAAACATGAGGTTGAGTTCGGGGTGACCCTGGGCCTTTCTTCAGCTCTGAACTCTGGGGCAGGTCATGGCACCCCGAGGCTCCCTCAACCAGCTAGGAAACATTGGTTCAGGCCTCCCCTGAGCTCAAGGGAGGAGGTTGGCCGTGTGGTCTTGCGGTGGTCTCTAGTGACCACACGGTTCTGCAACTGACTCTCTTGGGGAATCAAAGAAATCATGTTACCAAGAACACAAGCACCTGCTAGAAGCCAGGACGCTTTCCCTGGAGACAGAAGTTCTTGTGAAAATCAAGAATAAAGGGAAAAGGGACAGGTGAAAATGATGGCAGCAATATTCAACAGAAAATACTAGGAACTAAAAGACACAGTTTCTCATTTGATCTGACCTCAGACTGGCTGTTTGGGACCTTGGGAAAAATCACTCGGTTTTTTTTTTTATCCTCCACTGTAAAAATGGAGGTGCCCTTCCTACCTCATAGGGGTCATTGGGAGGCTAAAATGAGACAATGCGAAGGAAAAGGTGTTGAGCGAGAAAAGGCTTACCAGTGAAACAAACAAGCTAACCTGCATTTCTTTTGAGCCCGAATATAGAGACTCCGGGATACAGTCAGACCAGCTTTTCCCATGCAAGTTGTTATGGTTCCCGACTTGTTAGTACTTGTGCAGAGCTTACTCATTGTTTGAAAAGAAAGCTCCTTTTATTGTGAAATTGTGCAATCGTTGCTCTAGCAAACCATTATAGCTAAAAGAGTAGGATCGCTCATATGAATGTCAGAATTCTCCCTCATAAAGTGCCAAGGCGAGGTTGTTTCAAGGGATAGATGAGCTTGAAGGAGCAAATGGGGTTGGGGCCAGAACTGAAGAGATTCTTGCTAGAAACGCAGCTGGAACCAAGCCCAGGAAGGCCCGAGAAAAGCCAGAGTGTCTCAAGAGGGATGGTAGGTGGGGCTGCAGGAAGAGAGGGGAGTGCTAACAAGAGCCCGTTGCCTTCGAGAGCACACCAGAGTTTTCAAAATGCTTATGCATCTGTTATTTCACTCACTTCTCTAAAGGACCTTGTGTGGTATGCATTATGCTGACCCTCATGAAATTGCCATACCAGCTCAAAGAGGTTAAGTGGCTTTCACAAGGTCACACAGTAAGTAGTAGAGCATGGCAAAGAAATGAGGTGGGGTAGTCTGGGACATGAGGACATTTGAATCTTTTCCCCCCACTTCTCCAGGACTCTCCTTTCCACTGTCATATGTTGCTAAAGGCAGATGCCAGTCTCAAGAGAGGAGTAAGTTGTAAATGTCACTTGGAGGTCTAGTAGGGCCAAAGTTTCAGTGGAAAGACAAACAAACAAACAAGAAGCCTAACTTTTTTTTTTCTTTAATCCCTAACTCCTTGTTTATCACCTAACCAAACTCAGTTTATGTGTCTCGCAGGTCTGCTCACCCACCTGTCCTCTGGCTTCAGCAGCTACCGCTAATAACCTTGGGTGAACACTGGGCTTCTGCATGTTTTTAACTTGTCTGACACCAAGCCCAATCTGAATGAATGAAGCGTGGGGTCCGGGGTCCAGCTTCCCCGGTGACTGCTTACAGGAGACAGGTAACACAGTCAGAACTGTGGAGGAATTAACACGCCATGGAGAGAATCTTGTGACCAGAGAAAGACAGGAGACGGGAAGGAGCCCGCAGATAAAGTCCTTTTTCTTCCTCCTCCTACTCTGAGCTGTGGACGGATCCCCTTGGCCTGTCTGGAAGACATCCTGCGCGACCAAGCTCAAGGCTGCATCATTACATTTCCTTCCTTTCCCCTCACCCTGGATGCCGTGATATTGCGCCTCCCAATTAAGCCTCAACACAAACTTTGCCACGATACTTTTCTCTAGGAAGTTGAGGTAATCCCTCTGACCCTAACCCCCATTTCCTACCTTGTCTGTGGAAGGATCCCATTATCTCCGTGAAGTCTTTGGACTAAAGGCACAGGGCCGCTTCCCTTGGTGAAGTCTAGATCCAGGGTAGGATCAGCAGCATTTACGAAGTTGCCATTCTGGGCGGAAGCCTGAACCAGGTGCTCTGGATGAACACAAAGCCAGCTGGAGGCAACTTCTCAGGTGAGGCTCCCTGGGTAAAATGGTTCTCTAAGGCCCACAGGGACCACCCACAAAGAACAGCCCTCATTAACACAAATGAGACAGCTCTGTAAGAAAAGAGGGGCTTCGTGCTGCAGAGCAACTAAGCCCGTGCGCCACAGCTACTGAGCCTGCAAGCCACAGCTACTGAGCCTGCGCTCTAGAGCCCGTGAGCCACAGCTATGGAGCCTGCAAGCCACAACTACTGAGCCCACGAGCCACAACTACTGAGCCCGTGTGCCACAACTACTGAAGCCTGCACGCCTAGAGCCGGTCCTCTGCAACAAGAGGAGCCACCACAATGAGAAGCCCATGCACCGCCATGAAGAGTAGCCCCTGCTCGCCACAACTAGAGAAAGCCCACACACAGCAGCAAAAACGCGACGCAGCCAAAAAATAAATAAATTTTAAAAAAGAAAAAAAGGAAAGAAAAGAGGAGCTTCAAGTTAGAATCTCTAACACTAGGGAGCCATTTATATCCAGAAATGATCCATGTCTATAAAATGAGATTAATGCTCCCGCCACTTAAATAGTGAATAGATGAAGAAGAAAAATAACCTTGACACTTGTATGTGACAATCCATTATGTACATAAAAAAAAAAGTCCCAGGATCACGATCCCCATGTAGGCAAGGCATTTTTAAAGCCCCCAGCAGAGGGTTCTGGAAATGTCAGGTGCCGTTGTTATCCCCAAGTGGGTTTGGGACATAAAAGAAAACACTTTGGGATCAGCCATGGTTTCCACGCTCTGTCCTCCTCCAGGAATCTGTCACACTTTGCATTTGGTAACTTTACCCGGCAGGGCCATGCAGAGGCCGAGTTTGAGGCCAGGGCACAGCTGTAACCTGAGCCTTCCCAGGGAGTGGCCCTGGCTTGTCCCCAGGAAGAGAGCTGCTGTCAGGAGAGCGGAGCCAGCTGGAGCCAGAAGGAGGTGACACAGCCCAGGCCCCCTCCCTACACGTGTGAGAACCGCATCCTGCTGGAAAAGTGGGCTCTGGCCTGGACGCACACCAGGGAGCGACGGACCCCACTCCCTCCCGGCTTCCTTTCCTCTACCTCCACACTGTGTCCCTGGTGTCCGTCTCCTTCCCTTCCTCTCTGCTGAGGGTCTCAGGCATCTCTCCTGTACAATGTAAGCTCCACACTGACCTCCTGACCTCCAGCTTTGCTCCCCTCTCAGCCAGGTCTGACAGTCAATGCATCAGAATCATGGGGGTGGAGGTGAGGGTGGGACACATGCAGGAGTTTAAAATGCAGATTCTCAGGCCCTGCCCTGACCTAGTGAATGACACTATCCAGGTAGGGTCCGGGAGTCTGTATTTTTAACAAGTGCTCCAGAAGATTCTGCTGCAGGCTAAATCATCCTGTCCTTGGCTGCCAGTCTAATCTTATTTAAACACAGATTTGCTCCTTGCACCCACTTGGTATAGGCACTTGAAGTGGGGGAATGGGAGGAGGGTGGGTGTGTCTAGAAATGCCAGGTGAACTGGTGGGATTGGCCCACCTGCAGTCTCCTTTTGTGAGGGACCGAGGTGCTGCCTGGCCTGGGAAAGAGCTCCTCTTAAGAGAGGCGGCAAGACAACCTTGACTGTGTGAGGAGTGCAAGCCTCAGTGAAGGCTGAGGAAAAGTTGGTGTTTGACACCGAATCGATGCCTGGCCCTGACCTAGGGAGAGAGGGAGCTGTAAGTAGAAGCTGGGAAGACCATTGCACTAAACTTTAACACACACACACACACACACACACACACACACACACACAGCAGCAGCAGCAGCATTTTTTAGAGGCCCCTTTGGGAGGGCATTTCTCCCACTTCTCCAAAGGGTGACCCTAGCCCCGTAGGATATCATGTGGCCGATGATGCCCGGCTGGAGAACATGAGGACTGCTTGAATGGGAGCAATGCCTGTGAAGGGACACCAGACGTCCTGCTTTAGAACGAAGGTTTCCTCCCCTCCCACATATAACCTCTACCTCCCATTTAGATTCATCAACCTCTTCCCGAAGCAGGTTAAGTCATTCCAAACTTAACCTCTACCCACTGCACGGGGTTAGGCTGCAACTTCTGTGGCTGGTCAGACAACTGGTGATTGAGGAACTTAAACCCTTACCAGAAAAACGGAGAGCAGGAGGTCGAGGCAAGAGAGAAGCTACTAGATCCTTTGTAAACACTTCGCACTCACTACAATAAAATAACAGGATGTCACATAGAATAATGACAATATTTGTGATATTTTTGCTCATCTTTATTAATTTCCATTAGAATTTGCAGAAAAATGTCAGGACCTTCTATATTTTAAGGGAAATCTTTGTGAATTAATTTTGCTTTACCCCCTGTGCTATACACACTGAGGCACTGCCCTTGTTTGTTTTCTTGTTTCTTGGTTTAAATATCATCCTGTTTTTTGGGGTTTTTTTTGCGGTACGCGGGCCTCTCACTGTTGGGGCCTCTCCCGTTGCGGAGCACAGGCTCTGGACACACAGGCTCCGCGGCCATGGCTCACAGGCCCAGCTGCTCCACGGCACGTGGGATCTTCCCGGACCGGGGTATGAACCCGCATCCCCTGCATCGGCAGGCGGACTCTCAACTACTGGGCCACCAGGGAAGCCCCCATCCTGTTTTTTTTAAACCCAGAATTGTGAGCTATTAGCTGTGGGACTGTTCACAGGTCTCCCAGCTGCAGCGTCACCTGGGGAAATGAGTAACTTGGATGTTTGGACAGAAAACACACACTTGTCTTCTTGCCAGGATCACAGAGTCCTCACTGCCTGAGATCTGGGCCAAAGTTCACGCATCTCTGCTTCACTCCTCCTGGATCCCACCCACGTTCAAGGCCAAGGTCGATCTCCCCCTCTTTTTTTCCTCCACTCCTTCCTGGCCATCTGCTTTCCGTCTCTAACCTCTGTGTGTTTGTTAGAACTCCTTCAGCTAAAAGCTCTGGAATCAAAGGAAGAGCTGGAGGAACCCGGGGAAGCCCTGGGACCTCAGGGAAGGCAGGTGTGGCCTTGACGCTGCCCTCTCTCAGCCCCTTATCACTTTCTCTGGCTCCTTCAAGTGGCAGAAGTTGTGGCTCAACACCAAAGAGAGGAGGGAGAGTCTGACCTTCTAACTTCCACAGAAACATCCTATGGATGGGCTTCAGGTCCCCAGCAGGGGCACAGACCCACTCCTGCACTCACCTCTGGGGAAGAAGAGGGATGCTATGACTGGTCACTCTCTTCACTCACCTCCTTACTCTCATCTGCCTATAACCCAGGCTCCACGGAATATTTGGAAATGGAAATCGATCTTATCACCTCCCTACTTACGATCCTCCAATCACTTCCCATTCCACTTAGAAGACAATCCAGGAGTTTGGTCCTGGCCTAGAAGACCACAGGATCTGTGACGTCTCCACCTTCATCTCCGACTTTCTCCCCTCCTACAGTTCAGCTACACTGGCACCTTCTTGCTCATCCTCAGATACAACAAACTCCTACCTGCCCCAGGGCCCTGGTACTTGCTCTGTCTGGAGTGCTCTCCCCCTGGAGCCTCCCATGGCTGGCTCCTTCCCTGCTAACATGTCACGACCCCAGAGAGGCCTTCCCTAATCACATGTGTTCCTCCATCACCCTCAATCCCCTTACCTTGCTTTATTTTCATCACAGCACAGATTGCCATCTGCATCTCTCACAATTATTTATCTAGTTGTTTACAGCTGTCTCCTCTGACCAGAACATCCGCTTTAGAGGCCAGGGACCTGTTCTCCTTGTTCATGGGTGTGACCCAGCCCAGCACCTGGCACATAACTAGTGCTCAACAAACGCTTACTGTAAACAATGAATCCAGACCTGGAGGTGAGGCGGCTTAGGAAGGCTGGGCCATGGAATTGGCACACCCACTGGCAGGCACCTGGATCCAGGAGATAAGCGGGCCTAAGGCTTCGACAGGTGAGCAGTGTTTCCTGGCGAAAGTGGGGTGTCAGCCACCAAGAGTGGGTGCTCTCCTCTGCCACCTTTTCCAAACTCTTCGTCCCCTTCCAGTTTCCATCTCATTCCCATTCTCTGCTTTTCTCAGATTCTGTCTCATTCAAACCTGCTTTCTCACCTTTTTGATTTTATAATGCCTATTAACTAGATTTGAATATGCCAATGCTTTATTTACAACTGAGAAAGCAGCTAGATGTTAACCTGCCTTCCAATGCACAGAGAGTTTCCTTAGCTGTTGTCAAACGTTGGAAACACTTTTCTTTCTGGTTTTTAGGAGCCTAGTACAGTTACTACTTAGATGAATTTGCCATAAAAAAATCTTATAAAATGATACAACATAATGATATTCCTTTGTTAAGCAGCTCTCAAACCATGTAAAATGAGAGGGTCAAAGGCAAAGAAGCCGACCCTTAGTTACGTAAACAATTTTCTTTTGCGTTTGAATTCATGTTTGTCTGCAATATTACAAACTTCACAAAATTCCCCTTCCACAGTACCAGATTCTTAATTAAGTGAATACCACTGCTGCAATTTTCTGATAAATAAAATGATCATTTCCACATGAATTAGAAATGCCAACTTGTTAATAGCTTCCCTGAGGTTTTGTTACAAAATCAGCACTGTTTTTGTCATCGTTCAGGCATAATACATACCATGTTCCAGTCTGGAAATGAGAATGTTCTTCAAGCAGTCGATTCCCAAGTGTGGACTGGATATTCCATCAGACAGTTTTCCCCTCATTCGTATTATAATCTATGACAATAGTTAATTGGTTAGAAAAAGATCTCATGTTGTTTTACTATAGTGAAACGTACCCAATTCAGATCAGTTGGAAGATGAAGCTGATCTGAGCTTATTAAAATTACAAAATTTACAACGTTAAAAAAATACTAGATAGCAAACTTCCTAAAGGCAGAGAGCTGATTGTACCTGTCTTTGTATACCTAGTGTTTAGCTGGCTAACTTGGGCACGGCCCTTGGCCTCCCAGTACCTCAATCTCCTCATCTGTAAAATAGCCATAATACTAGTACACAACATTTCATAGGCTTGTTGTGAGGGCTAAATGCTAGGAAAGCACTCAACCAAGGACCTAGTATGTAGTAAACACCTAGAAGAGATTACCTATTGTTGTTAGGCTTAAAAGGACTCAATCATTACTGCTTGATGGGGATGAAATGCAACTTGCTACCTTTCAACAACTTGAAAGGCTCCCCAAGTCCTTCCACGAGATCCCTTTCAGCTCGGTGCTTTGTAACCACCAAGAGGGGGGGAGGGGGGGGGGGGGGAGGGAGGGAGACGCAAGAAGGAAGAGATATGGGAACATATGTATATGTATAACTGATTCACTTTGTTATAAAGCAGAAACTAACAAACCATTGTAAAGCAATTATACTCCAATAAAGATGTAAAAAAATAAAACAAAATAATAAAAGCCCTAGTACCCTTTAAAAAAAAAAAAGAATGGATGACCCATTTATAGTTCACAGCACCGTTTGCATACCAACAATTACTGTGCTAAAGTCCTTTAAAGAGCTGATTTCTTAATTAAACCTGACATTCCCCTTGCACTCCTGTTTGTCCGCTGAATTTTCTTAGTAAATCTTTTAAGTGGGGTAGAAGAAAGTGTCAGTCTAGCCTCACCATGTACATTTATCCATATTTTAGGTTAGTGGCATCTAAAAGAGTGAAGTTATGCTATATTTTAAATCAAAAGAGCAACACACAGAACCATTGCTACAAATGATACACATTTGTTTTTGAGATGGAGCCTTGGTATATTCTCAGTTCCATGTCAGTCACCCTTCTCTCCTAACCACCTCCTTTGCCTTAAACTCCCTTATTTAACATTATTTCCATCTTGGAACAGAGTCTTTGAATTCGTTATGGGGAACTGCAGTTTCCACTTTGTTTTTTTTTATAACTTATTATTTAGAAAGTCCCCTAGTTTTGTTTTTAAGCTTAACTAGGCATTTTACTATTTTGATGACTCGTTTCTTAGCTCCAGTTAGGTGACAGCAATAGCATGGGGAGAATTAAACAGAACCTTCAGGGACTGAGCTAGCCAGGACATGCCCAGGCTGCCTCAGATATGTGTGGAGCCTAGAAGAAGAGATCCAACGGAAGCCTGCAGCCCTGTTGCTGAAAGACCTCTCCGTGCCCCTCCCACTGCAAGCCAGGCAACCTCTGCCCATAAAGTGCCTCTACCTCATTGCCTTTTTTTTTTTTACATCTTTATTAGGGTATAATGGCTTTACAATGGTGTGTTAGTTTCTGCTTTATAACAAAGTGAGTCAGTTATACATATACATATGTTCCCGTATCTCTTCTGTCTTGCGTCTCCCTCCCTCACACCCTCTCTATCCCACCCCTCTAGGTGGTCACAAAGCACTGAGCTGATCTCCCTGTGCTATGCGGCTGCTTCCCACTAGCTATCTATTTTACGTTTGGTAGTGTATATATGTCCATGCCACTCTCTCACTTTGTCACAGCTTACCCTTCCCCCTCCCCATATCCTTAAGTCCATTCTCTAGTAGGTCTGTGTCTTTATTCCTGTCTTACCCCTAGGTTCTTCATGACGTTTTTTTTTTTCTTAAATTCCATATATATGTGTTAGCATACGGTATTTGTCTTTCTCCTTCTGACTTACTTCACTCTGTATGACGGACTCTAGGTCCATCCACCTCATTACAAATAGCTCAATTTCGTTCCTTTTTATGGCTGAGTAATATTCCATTGTGTATATGTGCCACATCTTCTTTATCCATTCATCTGATGATGGACACCTAGGTTGTTTCCATCTCCAGGCTATTGTAAATAGAGCTGCAATGAACATTTTGGTACATGACTCTTTTTGAATTATGGTTTTCTCAGGGTATATGCCCAGTAGTGGGATTGCTGGGTCGTATGGTAATTCTATTTGTAGTTTTTTAAGGAACCTCCATACTGTTCTCCATAGTGGCTGTCCCAATTCACATTCTCATCAGCAGTGCAAGAGTGTTCCCTTTTCTCCACACCCTCTCCAGCATTTATTTTTTCTAGATTTTTTGATGATGGCCATTCTGACTGGTGTGAGATGATATCTCATTGTAGTTTTGATTTGCATTTCTCTAATGATTAATGATGTTGTGCATTCTTTCATGTGTTTGTTGGCAGTCTGTATATCTTCTTTGGGGAAATGTCTATTTAGGTCTTCTGCCCATTTTTGGATTGGGTTGTTTGTTTCTTTGATATTGAGCTGCATGAGCTGCTTGTAAATTTTGGAGATTAATCCTTTGTCAGTTGCTTCATTTGCAAATATTTCCTCCCATTCTGAGGGTTGTCTTTTGGTCTTGTTTATGGTTTCCTTTGCTGTGCAGATGCTTTGAAGTTTCATTAGGTCCCATTTGTTTATTTTTGTTTTTATTTCCATTTCTCGAGGTGGGTCAGAAAGGATCTTGCTGTGATTTATGTCATAGAGTGTTCTGCCTATGTTTTCCTCTAAGAGTTTGATAGTTTCTGGCCTTACATTTAGGTCTTTAATCCATTTTGAGCTTATTTTTGTGTATGGTGTTAGGGAGTGATCTAATCTCATACTTTTACATGTACCTGTCCAGTTTTCCCAGCACCACTTATTGAAGAGGCTGTCCTTTCTCCACTGTACATTCCTGCCTCCTTTATCAAAGATAAGGTGACCATATGTGTGTGGGTTTATCTCTGGGCTTTCTATCCTGCTCCATTGATCTATCTTTCTGTTTTTGTGCCAGTACCATACTGTCTTGATTACTGTAACTTCGTAGTATAGTCTGAAGTCAGGGAGCCTGATTCCTCCAGCTCCGTTTTTCGTTCTCAAGATTGCTTTGGCTATTCGGGGTCTTTTGTGTTTCCATACATATTGTGAAATTTTTTGTTCCAGTTCTGTGAAAAATGCCATTGGTAATTTGATAGGGATTGCATTGAATCTGTAGATTGCTTTGGGTAGTAGAGTCATTTTCACAATGTTGATTCTTTCAATCCAAGAACATGGCATATCTCTCCATCTATTTGTATCACCTCTAATTTCTTTCATCAGTGTCTTATAATTTTCTGTATATAGGTTTTTTGTCTCCTTAGGTAGGTTTATTTCTAGATATTTTATTCTTTTTGTTGCAGTGGTAAATGGGAGTGTTTTCTTGATTTCACTTTCAGATTTTTCATCATTAGTGTATAGGAATGCCAGAGATTTCTGTGCATTAATTTTGTATCCTGCTACTTTGCCAAATTCATTGATTAGCTCTAGCAGTTTTCTGGTAGCATCTTTAGGATTCTCTATGTATAGTATCATGTCATCTGCAAATGGTGACAGCTTTACTTCTTCTTTTCCAATTTGGATTCCTTTTATTTCCTTTTCTTCTCTGATTGCTAAGTTCCTCAGAGCAACACAAGGCTTGAAAGTCCAGTTCAGACATAGAATTTTTGGCCTCCTTGGAATTCGGTACTAGAATGCAGTGGCACAGGGAGAGAGTCTTGCTGCCCGGCCTGCCGTCCAACCCCCTTTTATCCCCAGCAGGCTCTGGTGGCATGAAAGCTCTCACATGAGGCAGGTGGGTACCCAGCTCTGTGTCCAAGCAGACCCCCTGCAAACAGCTCCCCCTTGGCCATTCCAGGAACTGGCAACATGGTCTATCCAGGAAAGACAGACCTGAAAAGGGGCTTATGTGGCCCCAAGTACTTGGGAAATATTCCAGAAGCGGGGATGTGGGCTTATCCCATGAAAGTGCTGCATCAGGACCAGGATTCCTCTTGCCTGGATCTAAAGGCAGTGCTTACTAGGCATTATCATTCTTCTTATTGAGGAGGTAGTTCCTGACCCCAAAGTGGGTATTGGAGAAAGGAGTCCAGTCAAATATAAGTGGATTTTTTTTTTGAATACTGTGGTGTATTCTGCTCATTATAAAACTTTAGATGAGGTTAAAGAAGGGAATGAGTTTGGGGACTTCCTGGGTGGCGCAGTGGTTAAGAATCTGCCTGCAAATGCAGGGGATATGGGTTCGAGCCCTGGTCCAGGAAGATCCCACATGCCGTGGAGAAACTAAGTCCGTGCGCCACAACTACTGAGCCTGCATTCTAGAGCCCTCGAGCCACAACTACTGAAGCCTGCCACAACTACCGAAGCCTGTGCACCTAGAGCCCGTGCTCCACAACAAGAGAAGCCACCGCAATGAGAAGCCTGAGCACTGCAACGAAGAGTAGCCCCTGCTCGCTGCAACTAGAGAAAGCCCATGGGCAACAAGGAAGACCCAATGCAGCCAAAAATAAATAAATAAATAATTTTTTTTTTTTAAAAAAAGAAGGGAATGACTGTAGATGCTAGTGTTGCTACAAATGCCTCCCTGGAGGAGACCTGAACCAGGTCTCAAATGAACATCTGGGGAACATCTGTCCACTATATTTTTTATTAGCATTTATGATGGCCTTTTCACTTCATGACATCATCAGTCATATCATGTATTTTCTTAGACATTTTTCCTCTTTAAGTTTTTGTCTGGAAAACCACCCTAGCAAGACCTCAGTTTTCTGCCCATCTCATTTTTGTGTGTCCCTCAAAATGGAGACAACTCCTTAAAGATCACCACTCCCACTCCTTGCCTTCATGGCATGTGGTTAAATAGTTTCTAAAATGTTTAGATTGGACCTCCCTGGTGGCGCAGTGGTTAAGAACCCGCCTGCCAATGCAGGGTACACGGGTTCGAGCCCTGGTCCAGGAAGATCCCACATGCCGTGGAGCAACTAAGCCCATGCACCACAACTACTGAGCCTGCAGTCTAGAGCCCGTGAGCCACAACTACTGAGCCCACGTGCCACAACTACTGAAGCCTGCGTGCCTAGAGCCCACACTCCTCAACAAGAGGAGCCACCGCGATGAGAAGCACGCACACTGCAACAAAGAGTAGTCCCTGCTCACTGCAACTAGAGAAAGCCCGTGTGCAGCAACGAAGACCCAACGCAGCCAAAAATAAATAAATGTATTTTTTTAAAAAAGCACGGAGTGCAAAAATAAAATAAAATAAAATGTTCAGATGAATTACCACATTCAAGGGCCAAGAAGGTTTCAGGAGTTTCAGAAGCGAAATGTTTGTCTGAAACAAGCTGCTTTGGATTATGTTTACATGACACAGGCGCGTTCCTCCTGGCCTTCCAAGTTTGGCCCAGAATCGTCCCCTCAGTCCTTTGCTTGGTGTCATTACAAGTAACAAATCAGAGTGTGAACATTCTCATTTTCTCTGTCTATCTCCAAAATGCCATTCTGGGATGGCCTGGTGGTGACTTAGGAAATAAATCTCAAGGCTCCGTGTAGCTGTCCTGTAGGTACTTGTCTTCCCCATGGGCCAGAGAGCATCCTTTGTGATGTTCATGTGATGTTCATGTTTATAACTGTAGAGTTTATTCTTTGGTTTAGGGCACGAAATGATGATCGGCTTACGCAGCTCCAGAGTTAAAGCAGAGAAGGTGGGGACACAGATTTCTCAGGTCTTCAATGAAACAGCTGAAGATCATTGTCCTAGCTTTTTGATGAAGTGGAAAGAATTTGGAATGTGAATCAGAGCAACTGTGCTTGATCCCAGAGCCCTTGTTCTGTCCTTTGTTGCACATGCACTTGCTGAAGCCCTTGGTGGTCGAGGCATCCGGGATGCCCAGGTGGGCGGCACCACATTCAGTGGGGGATTGTGACTTGGGTCCAGGTTTTTAGCCTCCCTCAGCCTCCCTTTCCCCTTCTGTAAATAGGCAATGACACAGACCCCTCTCAGGGAGAATGGGGAAATGTAAGAAGTGGAAACAGCACATGTGGCACTTACGTGGTCAAAATAAATCTTGCAGAGTAGGTGTCCTGGAGTCCAGCGGCTGCCTGGAGGAGCCAGGTGTGGTCCTGTTCTCATCCTGGGCTGGGAGCCCTGCACTGGCTGTAGCTGCTGCAGAGCAAGTTCTCCGTGGCTAGCAAAGAAGCGGAACTGCCATTTCTGTAGTACAAGGAGATTCTTGCAAGTTTAGCACCCTTCTACCCAACAAAGAAATGCATTATCTCTTTTTTTCCTTTTTTAATATTTACTTACTTATTTTGCTGCACCAGGCCTTAGGTGTGGCATGTGGGATCTTAGTTGTGGCAAGCATGCGGGATCTAGTTCCCTGACCAGGGGTTGAACCTGGGCCCCCTGCATTGGGAGCGCGGAGTCTTAATCACTGGACCACCAGGGAAGTCCTGCATTATCTCTTCCTTGAGGCCCTGTTAAATATTGGAAAACACATTTTCGAATCTAACTTGAAAATATAATTTTTAGAAAGTGACAAACATTTTAGAAAAATGAAAATTTAAAGGGTTCTAGATGCATCGGGAGCTCAGTTATGACCTTCCCCAAGATCTCTCATCTCACCCAGAACCCATCTGCCCTCACGGAGCTGAGGGAACATTCATTTTCCTGAACTCTCACGAACAGTTTCCCTCTGGATCCAGCTCCATGTAACTGGGCAGCCAGTGTCTTGGGGACACAAAGTCAGAGGAAATTCTGAGCCAGGCCCTGTATTTGCTGGGAAGGTAGAGGGACCATTTCCAATTTTTCACTTCTTGCTCAAAGGGCAAAAATGACAGGTCTGTGTGGCCTAGTTACTGCTTTCTGTCTCTCCAGGCGCCAGCGCTCAGCTTCCTCCTTATTAATGTTCTGTGATGGTCCGCTCCTGGTGCTGGGTATCCATCACACAGGGTTCTTAGAGGGCAGACACCAGCAGGGAAGGTGTTGTGGGCTCACTCTCACAAATATCATCACTTGTATTATCAGAGCAATTACAAAATACTGCTCTTAAAAATGCAATAAGAAAATACCCAAATTGAGGACTCTCTGTATAATTTATTTGTCTGCCAACTTTCTATTTTTACGATAGAAGGTTGAACCCTGAGGGAAAATAAACCCCAGAGAAGTTTAGTTACCTTAAGTTCTTCCAGGAGATCAAGAAATTTAGACATTTTCTATCTTTTGTTTAAAAAGAACATTTTTTTGCCTCCCTAATTCCATGAAAAATAAAAAGAATGAAAGAAATTGTGATTGACAGCACAAAGATCTGGAGTTCAGGAGGCTCAGAGGAATGGGGGTGGGAGTGGAGGGGGTGTGTTTTAGGCTCAAATCAGAACCATTTAAGAAAAGAAAATGATGTGGTTGCAGAATGCAGGTTCTATAAGAACAGCTGGAGAATGAAAATGTCATTTCTTACAGAATTAATCCAATGCTGCACAACTGTTTGAGGATTCCTAAAAGTCCAGGTTGATGCTAATAAAGAGCTTACCTTCTGAAAGAATGGGGTTCAATGTTCCAGTGAGGTCAGGAAAAAGAAAAATAAGAAAAACCAGGCCTGGGAAAGCTGACGAGGCTGAGGGCAGGGGACAAAATGCTCAAGGAGTTGCTGAGCCTGAAGCCACACCAAGCCAGAGGCGATGCTCAGAAAGGAAGGAGGAACTGCTGACTCCGTGTCTCCTCGTGGAACAGTAGTGCCCAAAAGCTTTGGCTGGTATCTCTCCAAGTGTGGCCTACCCACCATGCCTTGGGATGGTGTTCGTTAAAATGCAGATTCCTGGGCCCCGTCCTTGTCTTCCCGAATTAGAACCTTTCGAAATGAGAAGGCGGAATGTGCATTTTATAACATAGCCCAGGGGCGCGTTATTCTCACGTCCCTCTCCAGTGCCCTCTTACACAGTCGGACAATAAACACCAGGTCCCCGCTGTGTGTGGAGAAACATCCCAGGAGTGGTGTGGATGTGCTGCTCCAGAGCCTCACACCTCACCTGTTTCTCTTCTCACAAGCAAAAAGCAGATTCAAATTGGGCAGATGGTGCGTTGCCCAGACGCGGAAGAAGCGTCAAGTCAGAAGCAGGGCGAGAGGGCAGGTTCTCACAAGTATCAGAGAACCTCGGGAGAAAATGCTAAACAGCTGTACCCAGGAGGGAGAGGAAGTGGTGGGGCAGGGGAGGGCCCCACTTCATGCCAGCGGGCCTGGGCCCTGCCTGCTCCTCTCCGCTACTCTGCCCCCTTCTCCCCCTCTTGGCTCCCCTCTCCCGGCAGAACCTCCCAGTTCCGCCCCAGCACCTGCAGGAGAACCCCAAGACCAGGACGCAGCAGGCTGGCTAACTAGCAAACCAAGAAGGCTGACCGCAGGTCTGGCCTTGACCACTAACCACCTTGTGCCTCCTCAGTTCTCTCTGCAAGCGACCCCTCCTCCCTCTCCCCGCTCCGCCCCACCCCCTCCTTTTACCCCCGTTCCAGTACATCTGTGGCCAAGCCCGTGCGTGGCCTTGGAGCCTGCTCTGCGGGATGCGAATCCCTGAGGAGAAAAGTTTCTGGAAAGCAAACAGAAGGCTTTTGTCGGAACCCGAGCCGGGGTGAGGCCGCAGCGGACCTCCCAGCTCGGGGCTGCGACGCCGGGGTCCTCTGTCACAGATGAGGGGCCCTCCTCCTCCCGGGACGCCCTTCCTAGAGAGGTCAGCCCGCCGCTGGCTCCTGGCTCCAGACAGAGTGCGATGCCCGCGCCACCCAGTGGGCGCCACGGGAACTGCACCCCGCGAGCCCGGCTCCCTCCCGCCGCTCACGCTGGACACCGAGACAGTTAAGAACAATGCCTGGCGCCGAGTAGTGCGCGGTGTTAGGTTGCTGTCATTCCTGTGCCAGGAACGAATCCACTTTTAGCGAAAGAAGAGACCGGAATGGCAGTAATATCAGCAGCGTGGACGAAGACAGTAACATTACTATTTCGGCGGCGCTTGAAATTTTCCCCAGGGTCACGTTCTGGGCCAGCGGACTCTATCACAGCGCGTGGCAGAAGTGAGAGGTCTGCAGGACTATTACCAGTCTATGTCTTGGGGACCTTGAGGTCCATGCCTTAGAAGCATTCATTTATTCACTGAGCTGCCCTTGTCCTTTAAACTTCAGTCCCTGAAATCCGAAGGAAGCTGCCCAGGAAACTGCACCCCCTTCTGCGGCTCCGGTAGCTCTCCTATGGGTCTCGGTGCTTTTTATCTTTTCGCCTCGGAAAAGCAAAGGGATATTTTCCGCTGGCAACTTCCCCTACCTGTGGGGACAGAGAAAGGCTCAGAGAGGGGAAGGGAGGCTTCGGAGAAGGGGAGGGTGTTGTGGATTTCACCTCCTTGCCCTGAGGATGCTGCTTCCAGCCGGGAGGTGATAGAACACCTGAATCCATCGGGCTTGTCCTCCGCCCACCACACCCCTTGACATGGCCCCCTGGCTGATGTGGGAATAGAAAAGTGGTACCTGGCGGCCAGAGCAGGACTCCTCCAGCCGACCAGGTCTGCATTCCCACACCTGAGGCTGCCTTGAAACTCTGGATACCTCCCCAGTGGGGTTTGGGAGCCTCACTGAACACCATTTGTAGAAAATCAAGTCATTGTGAAGACGTGTGTGTATATGTATGTATGTATGCTTCCTCACACCAGGTACTTGCATGACTTTCCCCAATACTTGTTCAAGTGTGCCCACATGTCTCCTCAGAGAAATTTCCCCTCACCACCCTAGGACCACAGCCCCTGATCCACCTCCTCTACTCTGGCATTATTCTAGGCAGAACAGGGTAACGGAGGGAACAACTGACACTCAGAGCCAAGGAAGGGAGAGGAAGTTGTAGAAGATGAGGTGTGAGAGGTGGCCAAGGGCCAAAACAGGTGGGGTCCTGACAGCCATAGTAAGGGGTGTGACTTATGTTCTGAGTCTGAAAAGGAGGGATGTGATCTGATTTTACATTTTTTTTTTTTTTGGCTGCTCTGCATGGCTTGCAGGATCTTAGTTCCCTGACCAGGAACTAAGAAAGCACCAAGTCCTAACCCCTGCACCACCAGGGAATTACGTTTTTTTTTTCTGATTTACATTTTTTAAAGATCACTCCGGCTGCCATTTGGAGGACTGATGAGGGGAGTATGGCAATAACATGAGCAGGGAGACTGGTTAGGAGGCCATCGGAAGTGACGATGTAGCTTGGCCTAGGCCAGTAGCAATAGAGATGGTGGGAGGAAGTCAGATTTGGGATATGTATCTGAGGGTGGAATGCACAGGAATCGCTGATGGATTTGGATCTGATGTGTGAGGGAAAGAGAGAGATAAAGGATCCTTTTCAGGGTTTTGTCCTGAGCAACTGGAAGGATGACAACTCTAACATGTACTGTTAGCCAGGCTAAGTCTTCTGAACCCTTGGCATATTTTAAAGTCATTACAACTTGACAACAGGGGACTTCCCTGGTGGTGCAGCCAATAAGACTCCGTGCTTCCAATGCAGGGGGCCCGGGTTTGATCCTTGGTCAGGGAACTAGATCCCACATACATGCCGTAACTAAGGAGCCCACATGCCGCAACTAAGGAGCCCACCTGCTGCAACTAAGACTCAGCACAACCAAATGAAAATAAATTTTAAAAAACTTGACAACACTCCTATGAACTAGGTGCTTTATTGTCCCCATTTTACAGAAGAAATTGAGGCACAGAGAGTTTAATCCATTTGCATAGTTTCACATGGCTAGCAAGTGGAAAAGCTCGGATTTGAACGAACTCAGTGTTTAACTACTGCACAGCTCTTCCTCTTTATAAAAAAAGAAGTATGCCATTAACTGTGATAGGGAAGGCTTGGGGAGGAATGGGGTGTTGGGGGAGTGTGAATCCAGAGTTCTGACTTGCATGTGTTCAGAGGAGATGCCTTTCAAACATCCAAGTTAGGTGTATGACTCTGGTCCTGGAGGCAGGGAGGGAGCATTTGGGGCTGGAGTATTAACCATGGCAAGGAGAGAAGAGAGGTCTTGAAAGGATGGTGATGGAAACTGATCTCTCAGTGCAGTCCATCAAGCCTTTGGGGCATCAGGAAGGTGTTGAGGAAATTTTGTTCTAGCAGTGCTTGTTTTCATCTGAAGATGTCATGAAAAGTTCTGACCTTGCTCCAGAAAAACTGCATGTGCACACATGCAACATCTTCCACACAATTTCAGGGTGTCCATGGGCCCTCAGGAGCCATCCATGGGCCATTCTGGTGTTACTGTCAAACCTCCCCTCACCCATCAGCAACAGCAGATGTTACCACATCCCATAGGGTCTGACAGGACCTCTGACCAAGTCTCCACAGGTCCCAGCATCCTCTCTGGCTGCGTGAGGTGGCAGCTGCACCACTGGAAAAGCAGACTCGCTGGAGGGTAAGAATGGAGTCATTTTGGAATGGCTACGTAGGGCAGAGCTCCTCACCCACCCCATCCACCCCCGCAGGTGTTGCACCTATAAATGTTTGCTTTGGGTACGACCCCATGTGGAATAGAAGGATGTGCCCACACGAAGTCTTTTGCTCTTTCATTCATCTCTAGGTGATGTTATTAACCTGGCTATTCTCTAAGTTTAAAGACAAGAGTAGCTCATCGTGGGCACTGGCGGCTGTTGCTCTGTTTGTTTAGGCTGCCCCAGCTTCCAGCACGCCTCCTCTTTGGAGGGAACCCCCTTGTGTGAGTCTTGGCAGGAGGCAGGATCCATCAGGCCCTCTGGGAGTTGAAGGCCCAGGTGTTCCCCCATCTCCCCACCCCCACGGAGCTTATGGGCTCCCCGTCCTGGCCCAGGCAACTGGGGGCTCTGACCTGGGATGGGAAAAGCGCAGGGACAGAAGAGAACTCATCTGGGGCCGTGGCAGCTCGACCAGAAGACCATCGGTGAAGGCAGCGTTCCGTGCCCAGTGGCAGCAGTCCCGGCAGTGGCATCCTAACCGTAGCGTGGCCTCAGCTGGGTCTCCTGCCTTGGGACGTTTCCCCAGTGTGGGTCTCCAGCCTCCCCGCTGATGACATCTGTGTGCATCCCCACATCCACTGAGGAAGCTCCTTCCGTGCTTAAGCCAGTCAGCCAGTTCCGTGCCCCCCGCCACCCGGGCTCTGCTGGAGTGGCTGTGCTGAGCTTTCAGCTGCCGTCTCGCTCTGCCTACAGTAACAGTGTTTGGGGTTCTTCTCCCGGTCCCTGAAGTTACGATTCCTGGCCTGTCAAAGCCTTGCTATGCGACTCCTGCCAGATCCCCGCCTGTGTCCCTGAATGCCCGTGCCTTACAGGAGGAGGGCTTCTCTCCCAGCGAAGCCTCTGCAGGCGAGAGCCCCTATGTAGGTAGCAGCCAGCCCCCATCATAAAGGTTATAACTACCGCTGTCATGTCCCAGGGACAATCCTTTGACATTCCTGGCTCTAAATGAGTCATCAAACCTCCCAGTCTCACGTCCCTGATATTTTTTTCTGACTTCACAAGACCAACTGAGGCTGGAGTCCTCCTCCCAAGGAAGGCTGCAAGCCTCCAAGTCGGAGACTACGCTGGGAGGCCCCCAGCTTCTCCTGAGTGGGGCCTGGGCTATGGCTGGTGATGGCTGGGTCAGGATAGAGATGTCACAGCTTTTCCAAAGGCAGCAGATGACTGCAGGGTCCTCGGCACTATGCTGGAACATACCATCCTTTTTGAGAAGGAAGGAAACCCAGCAGCTCCCGACTCACGACTGTGTCCTCCTGCAGACAGTATGCAGCTGAGGTGTCCAGTCGTAGTGTCTGTTTGCTGGGCTCACATCTCGTGGCCACTGCCCCACCCACGGGCTGGGCAGAGCTTCCCTGGTACATGCTACTCACGGCCCCGAGGATTGTTGAAACCCCGAAACACTTCCATCCTGGGAGGTAAACAGCTGCTCCTCTGAGCCCACCCCCCAACCCAACTGTGACCTGCCCATCATTACCCTGGTCCTCCCCCAAGACCCCGAAGACCTCCCCATAACCCAGCAACTGGAGGGTCACAGCTGGCACAGACACAGGGTCGGGCCGGTGGTTAAATATTTTGGGTATCACCCCTGCCCTCAGGGGTTCTCAGAGCCCATTTTCTCCTGACGTGTCTCCAGTCACCACCCACACGACTGCGCAGTCCCACTACTTCTCACCCCCAAACTAATAGCCAGCCTGTCTTCCTCACCTGCTTCAAGTCCTTCCTTCTCCAGGGAACTGTCCTGATCTTGCCCTCATACCCACAACACACTGCCTTCCTCCAGGCTCATATGGACCCAAGGACCATATGAAGATCCTTGAGAGTCTTAAACTTATCCTTGCCCAGTTGATGGGATATAGATTCCTGTCTTATTGTTACCTGGGGGCAGGGAAGTGATGTCAGGACCTCTCGGGCCAGGGCCAAAGAGGGGAAGGTCCCAGGAAGGCCAGAACATAGCGAGTAGGACTGGTCTGAGAAGGGAAGCTCTTGAGAGAGGCCAAGCCGGAAGAACTCCAGGGCTAGGAGCCGTGAACAAGGCTGAGCCGGCCATCGGTCAGAGCAGGTACACACAGGTGGGGCTGAGGCAAGCGGAAGGTCAAAGGGTGGGTCACACCCAGAGTGGAATGAGGCAGAGCAGAAGGAGGTGTGGTAGGTGATCAGCTGAGTCTCAACCCCTGCATGGGGGTGGGGCTTGGGCCTTGCTCTGTGCCACGGTGGATACCTGGGAATGGAAGTTTGGAAACTCGAATCACATTTTCCCATAATGTGCCACG